GAGATAAGGGGTTAGGGATGTATATCTGTAAATTAGAATCAGACAGCTAAATTGACTCGTTAACGGTCAATTAACGACCAGATTGGAGGTGTCAAATTCGAAACCTCCCTTTATTTCAAAGAGGTTTCTTGTATAATTATCCAATCTTTTCGAATCATAAATATAAATTATCTTTTAACATTTACAAGAATGGATAATTAGCGAGTACGACGTCCTGGAAAAGATGATAGCAAAAACTCTATGTATGGTAAAAAGGTTTCGTCCAAAGTAAAGCTGGCCTTATATATTTTGATCAAGAAATGTAATCTTTCTAAAACGTTAATCACAAGAAATTAAACATTTTTCTAGTTTGCAAAACGAGGCAAAAATAAACATTTAGCTAGTGGTGATGTTAAAATTCACGGCTGTTCAAAGATCATTTAATTCCTCAACGAATTAGAACAAATTTCCTTGGTGCCAGTGGCAAGTGTACTTTTAAAAATAATAACAATAGCCTTAATATGTCACAAATAAAGCAAGCAGATAAGCTTAAGTTTTCAGACGACTCTCTGGGAGTTACACGCTTAAGTTAAGTTCGATTATCGAGAGAGAAGAACTCTTAACATGATACTCTTATACGTGTATTGCACATTGGAATCCAGGAGTTAACCATGATCATTTCAGAAGGAAAGTGCCAAAGGACGAATTCTTCATCCCCTACTCAACGAAAAAAGTTGAAGTACCAGAAATTTGCTTAGGATCTGCAGGAATCAGAGTCCTTTTAAAGTTAGCAAACTGTCCGTGAAGATTGTATCTGTTGACCACACCCGCTTCAGACCTGGGTTTTCTCGTCTTAGAGAATATTTTACAAAATTAACAGTTGTGTGTTGCAAAGTACAAAGTTTTATAATTAACAATTATCGCTTTTCGGAGGCCAGTGTTTGATTGTTTAAATGATATGTTCCTAGCCTAGTTAGTTCATTCATTGATATCGCAAATTTTGTGTGTTGTTTGTGTGAGCTTGGACAAATTGATTTAAAATGCGTAATACTGTAATCCCCCCTCGTTAAGCCTAGATGCTTTTGGGGAAAACTGTGAAAATATGTCAGTTATAAAAAAAACCAACAACAACACCTGTCTCTTCCCTAACTTCACATTCCCTTTATCTTCATGAGGAAAAGAAGTAAAAGTAAGAATAAAACTGAGAGAGAATTGAACGAAACTTCTCCTATAGCATCCGTACATTACGATGCCGCAAACTGTTAATGAGAAAACTCAAACTTATCAGGTGGAGGTTTTTATCATGATCTAACACCCAATTCTTTGTAACTGATTTACGGAGAAATGTGTAGCAGCTAAAGGGAAGACTGAAATAGCAATAAGATCTTGGGATTTGAAGGGTTGAAAGGCACAAAAGATTGTAGCCGAGTCCAACAACGGTTATCATAATATATTAGGCACTCAGATGAGGATACATGATGATGCTGAGCCAGACAATTTTCCTTGTTGGTTTTTATCATTCCGTACGTTGTCATGTATGGTCCATCTAGTATTATACAAATGATAAAGATGGAAGTACTCAAAAAAATTAATAAAACGAATCGAGTATTTATTGAACGTTCGCTTTTGGGTTTATCAGCATATGCTTGTTTTTATTAGAGAGAAGTTGGGAGAAGCTGTAGTTGTACGTAGTTGTTCCGGGCGTTATATAATATGAACCATTGGGACTGTGAAAAACGTGATCACAATCACACGTTTTTTGGTTGTTTTCTAGAAGAGTCAAGGTTGTATCATTAATTATCTCGTAAATCAAAACCGGAATTTTTAATTATCTCAGACGTTAACAGACAATTGAAAACCACGGTCAGTGATCTGAATTCCAAATTCTAGAGTGGAAAAGTCTAAGGAAAGTTATGATTAGCAAGTTTTAACGTCCAAAAAGAACTCATGAACAAAAGCACAAAAAAGTTCTAGGAATAAATGTAACGTTATGGTTGGAATGAAACTCAGTCTCTGAATTTTCTGATCAAGGAAATGGAATATTTTGTACGAAACGGATAAGTAAATTTTGAAAACGTTTTAGTGAAAAGATTAACAGAAATCACAAACTCAAGGTCTATAATGTTGTCTAAAACAATCCATCAGTGGTTAATCATGACTCAACTAATTAGAACGACCAATTCTTGTGGGGCTTATTGAATAATTGATCGTCATAGTAATAACTATGATATCGGTGTGTTGTCTACAGCTAACAGACAAGCTGATGTTTTCAGTTGTCACTGAGTTACACGTAGACATTCTATACGACTACCAAAGGATGGAAACGCGACTCCAAATACTACTAAAGGCTCCAGTTTCCTGGAATTTAACACGGCCACTTGAGAAGGAAAGAGCTCAAAAATAAAAGGTTGGAGAATCAGAAATTTATTCAAGATTCGCAAGAGTCAGGGTCCTCTAAAAGTAACACAACTCTCCTCGATGAACTCCGAACCGTCTCCACAGCGAGATAACATGACTTCAGAACCAACTTTCGCCTCCTCATTGACTCCATTTTTTCGCTATCATCTTCACGACAATGTAGCTAGAGATGGTCGAACTGAGAGAGAACTGCAGGAACATTTCATTTCTTGTCAAGAGATAGTATTTACAACAGCTGCTAAAGACCTGGGCGACGAAGAATGGCCGTTTGTTATAAGAAAACATTTTCAAGCCTCCCGATTTTTATTCCATTTTAAATCAACGGAGTAAATCGCTCCCGTCGGGGGACCTGTGGCAATTTTTGAGAGCTTTTTTTTGTGCGTGGTAAAAATCCTTGACATGGTTGGTTTGCACTTGACTAAATAAATTCTGCAAAATAATGTCAGGAGTACATTAGTTATGCAACGTGTGTGAGTGTTTTTTTAAGTTTTCGAGTGATACTTTTTCCTTCTGCAATATGACACATAAACCATATCTTCCAGGGAACATATTTCTGGCAATTTAAACACGAAGGTTCGCTATAAAAGGAGCCTTAGGTCCCACTGGACCATTTGTCAATCAACCGGCGTGTGATGTAGAACTCTTAGAGTCAAGTCAGCTTGAGCTACAGCTACTCCAAAGCAGCAAACAGTGGGCGCATTCCTCAAAATTGTTTTATGTCTTCATCACAATACAAGAATTTTTGAGATTTGTATTTACTTTTTCTAATGGAAACTGTCTTTATTTGTGGAGGTAAATTTGAGATCGAAGTAGGTGGTTCGCACGTTACCTCATGCCACCATGCTGGTGGAAGTAAACAATAGATATCTCATTAGCTCCTTTTGTTCGTCTACCAGCATTTAAATTTGACCCGCACACGTCAATGGTGAGTGACAAATGAGCCTAGGTCTTCCCAGGGAAGACTTACTTATATAGTGCGCCTTTGTGTTTAAAGTATTTTGTGTAAGTAGTCAATTTATGCAATAGCGAAAATCAGACCTAAAAAAAAAACCAGGCCTGTACGGGATTCGAACCACTGACCTCTGCGATACTAGTGCAGCGCTCTACCAATTGAGCTAACAAGCTCATATATTGAACTTCATATATTCATTGTATCTTATTTATCAATTTCACGGGTTCCGCTCCCAGTTGGCTTGTTAGCTCAATTGGTAGAGCGCTGCACTAGTATCGCAGAGGTCAGTGGTTCGAATCCCGTACAGGCCTGATTTTTTTCAGGTCTGATTTTCGCTATTGCATAAATAGCGCTCCCTACTGCGAGGATTGTGCATCATACGTACGTTTATCATCATTCGCCGACAAAGCGACTTTATTTATCTCTTGTGTGAAAATTTCATGCTTATGACTTCGAATGTCATGCATCTTTCGAAGCTGTTTTTTCTTTGAAAAGAAAGTGCGTGTTAATCTATAAGGCACTGCATGGGGAATCCCCTACGTATATTGAAAGTACTTTAACTACAAATCACTCCCTACATGGTAGAGAGACCAGGCATGGTCAGTATAACCTAATCTGTCCCAAGTATCGAAATACTACTGAGGCAGGAAGGTCTTTCCAAGTTAGTAGTATTAAGTTATGGAATAGTCTTCCAAATGAGCTTAGGAAACAACGTAGCATCTCCTCTCTTAGGAATGATTTGATGAATTATTTTATAAATTCTTATAGAGACATTGATTCTTTTATAATCTTTGAATAGTTACATTGTTCGACTAGTTAGTTGTATTTTTAATCTCTATGGCTTAGAATGTATTACCAACTAACTTTAGTTTTGAGGGCCACTGGTTTATCAGCGCAAGCTGTTATGTGTATACCCTCTTTAAATAAAGTCGATTATTATTATTATTAAACATTTCTTGTAATCATCATGAGTAATCTTCTTCTTCACAACGATTTTTTTCACCCCTTTGCATTTCTTGCTTTCATCACCTTCAAACAATTTATAACTATACAACTTTGCTCTTAACCCCACAAACTCTATGATTATTGATTCACCAGTCTCAGTTTTAAACATCCCGATGACTTTCTTATTTTGTCCAGTTTTTATTCCAGAAGGATGATTCACATCAAAGTTACTCGTATCAAACATTGTCTTTATGTCAGACGCAATGTCTTTGAAGAAATCATCAGTCTCAATCTCATAACAGAGACTGTCAGTATCAGTAAAAAGAAGTTTGGCTCTTTCACCGTATTTTGGTTTGATGTAATTATAATGAAAATCATACATCAATGTCTTGCTTAAATCCAGAATGCTCATCCCAAGATAAACAGGCTTTTCAAATCTTATCTCAGTCTTTTTCATGTTCATCGCCACCAAATTCTCAGAAAAGATGGTACAATTCTTGAAATTTGGTTTTGCTGCCAACTTCTTTGCACTCTTCTCATTGTTCACCAATCGCAAGTCAATCCGATTTCTCATATTCTCCATGGTCTTTCCAAAGACTGAGTTATTCATCAACTTGAAAAAATCTTTTTCAAATTCATTCTTGGCTTTTGAGCGCAATCTGGTATTCAGGTCGATATATTCTGTCATCCAATCACTCTCTTGAAATTAAATCCCTCCATGAATCTTTGTGAGTTTCATCCCCAACTGAAGAGACAACTTGAGATTTTCACAATGAAGAACATATTTTTCTTTGTCTTTCACGTTGGGAATCAACTTCTCCACATTGTTAATCTTTTTTCTCTCAGGAGCCAATGGATACTCATTGTGCAAGTCATGCAATTCTTCTGGATATAACAAATCAACCTCTAAAAAACACGAATAATTTTGCCAATTTTTCAATTCACATTCATCCATCCACACAAAGCCATGTGTTGGAAGTTTCTTTGCCATTGCCCAACCATAAAGATTATTTGCGTCAAGATATGATATGAATTTGGATGGTTCATTCTTGTCAAATTTTTCACCCATATATTTATTATTCGCTTGACCATATCGATTTGAAATCATTGAAATCCCACCACGAGTTCCCTTTTCAATCATCAACAACATGTCTGAGTCAGACAGGAGTTCGAGTCTCACTCCTGTCTTTTTCAAACATGCATCCCAAGCCAACCCAGGCGCAGTATAATACCAAGCTGGGTCGAGACCGTAGTTTTTTCTACAAACATCACGAAAATTTTCAAAGACATCACACAAAAGCAACACATCTGCTTCGTTGTATAGATTATGATAATCTCTCAATGCTTTGCAACCGAAAACTCTCCACACCTTTCTTGCATGTTCATAATCTTCTTCAGAAATACATTCTCCATTAAGTGAAGAGAAAAAAGCGCTTCTCAGCGGTAATTCACTTTCATCTAGCTTATCAAGTTTATCCATATATTCATAAGGATAAACTCCTTTCCTCAGCAAAAGATCAAGTTTTTTGCCTTTGTAATACTTTTGCATTGTTTTGAATCTATTCTTTGAATCTGATGCCAGATTGGAAACTAGTTGTTCAAGACTTGAAGCCATAAACTTCAAGCTGTCAACAAAGCGCAATGCAAATGTCACATGTTTTTCTTCACCTTTTTCATTGACTCTTGTATCGACCTTTACTTGCTTTGAGAAACTAATGTATTTTTCTTCATTGCTGGCAATACAATCGATCTTTCCCCATGTCTCAGCGAGAGATTTGATGAAGAGATGAGCGTCATAACCACTCGTGTTGTGAAAGAAAACGGGTAAAAATTTTGAAACTCTGTATTTGAGGTCACATGATCGATGTGCTGCACCTCTAAATTTTCCAGAGAGATGACAATGATCTCGAACTTTCATGTCATCATTGCTGAATCGCCCACCACAAATCCAACAAGTGGTGGATTTTTCATACTCATTCATTTCTTTTTTTGAGATAATCATGTCTTTGACATTTTCATATATTTATGATAACTCATAGATATCTTTCACCTCTTCTTCAAGCGCTTTAACAAATATTTGGGCGATGTCTTCATCGCCTTCATCGAAATAAAAATTCATATGGTCCAAGTTTTGTAAATAGTTTGGGGTCGATCATGTTTTCTTTACCAGTAAGATTACAATGTTTTTTGTTGGAGGAGTGAAAAGTATCTTATGTGAGCAGTTCAACCTGATTTTTTGTGGTGTGTGATAATATAGTCTCCCTCGCAGCATAATACGACTAAGTCAGATAGATCGGTAAAATTTGGTGATGTCGCCCATCGGTAAAATGGTTTGCAATCTTAGATTGTATTTTTGCGGGTTCATTGACGAGATCGTCAAAGATGACAACCTTTCTATTTCCCATCGGATACTCTGATGTATTCATGATATCATCCGGTTCCATAATTTCTAATATGTCGTAAACGACTTTCTGTGAAATAATATCCATAAACTTTTCTAAATCCTGTATTTTATCTTGGTGAGGGTTGGGTGTATACAAATATATTTTACCGTAGACAACCAAAGGCAGTCTCAATATATTCATAACAGTGTTTTTCTTTCCACTCCCACTCACCCCTGCTATAAGCATTCTGTAGTCTTCGTCCAAAAAATCATTCAATCTTCGTTTAGGTTTTTCATTCACATGAGTATCAAAATTTTTCAATTTCACCATTTATTATTATTTTTCATTTTATTCACTCAAAAAGCTAAAAAGCTAAAATAAAAGCTAAGAAGCTAAGAAAGCTAGGAAGCTAGGAAACTAGGAAGCTAAGAAGCTAGGAAGCTAAGAAGCTAGGAAGTTAAAAAGCTAGGAAGCTAAAAAGCTAAAAAGCTAGGAAGCTAAGAAGCTAGGAAGCTGGGAAGCTGGGAAGCTAGGAAGCTAGGAAGCTAGGAAGCTAGGAAGCTAAAAAAAATGACTTAAATAAAATGAAAATCTAGATGAACACCATGCAAATTACAAGTCTTGAAAGCTCAACAAAGAAACTATAATTTTCCACGAAGCAGTGGTTAACCAACATAATCACGAAAGGATTAAAATCGAGGTGAAACAATCCACTGATAGTAAACCTGGTCCTTTAGTGATTGAAACCCCTTTTCTCTTCAGCTTCGGTGTACAAGAGAGAATGGATGGTGAAAAAAACGCTGTTGAAGGTTACTCTCTTCCTGTTTGTTTGTGGGGAACTGAAGGTGAACCAACACGTTTACAAAATATCTGTCACGAATATCTCGAAGAAAATTTTGAAGCTGATGTGTCAGAAGATTTGAGTAATATTCTGCATGAGAAAGAATCGAAATCTCCAAATCTATATGCCAAACTGATTTACTCCAAAAAGATGAAAAAGATCGTTTCGCTTTTCAGATCAAAGGGTAATCCAAATGACAATCCGTTTGATTACATCAACCAATATTGCAAAGTGAGAATGGCATTGATTATTGAATCAATTTACATAAGCGATACTAGCGTCTCAATTCAAATGAAAATCAATATTTAAAATAAATTGGCCCATGAAATTGATAAATTCTACAAAAAACTGAAACTTCATGTAAAAAAAAGACCAGTTTAAAGCCTTAACAATTTTATTTAGCAATAATTTCCATAGAATCCTTTACAATACAAAATATTAACAGCGTAAAAAACAATCCAAAATAACTCACTTTCGGCTCACATCTACTCAAACCCCTAAAACCCAGAGAAGCATTAGTCACAGTTGAAGAAAGCGAAGATGAACGAGAAGAATAAACTTTATTCAACAGTCGTTTTCTTTTCATGAACCGTGAAAAGAAAAATTCGTTTGCAAGTGCTTTTGGTTATTTCAACGTGAAAGACAATGTTCAAGTTTCACCTTGATCGAACTTTTCCTTGTATTGTTTTTCCACGTGAGTGCTAATGCCCTACTCTTTTCGAAGAGTGTGTGGGTTCTTCCACGTTCCAATTTTTATCACATATAAGGGCTTGTGAGACGGGACCTCATTTATCGTCCCTATCCGAGAAGACTAGAAAGTCTAACCATTTGCAGATATTATTACAAAGGCAGCACTTTCTTCTCAGTTATTTAAAGACCCTGAGTGTTGGTCCGGCCGGAGTCGAACTCTCGACCTCCCGCACAACAGTCCAGCGCTATACCAATTGAGCTAACCGGGAGGCGGTTAGCTCAAGCGAAGTGTCAAAATGATTGAATCCAAAAATACTTCGTTTTCTTTTGAGTTTTATTTTATTATGTGTTCGCATAATAAAATCTTGATTTTTGTTCAATCTTGTTTCATTATCATCAAATAACTATAATTCAAACCGTCGAGAAGAACAGAGCTATTATTATTATTATATGCCTCTAGAGTGAGCGATGTGTTGGCTTGGAAATATAACATGACGGAAACAGTATTTGTTACCCAAGAATCGTGTGTGTTGGGTAATTGAACAATTATTCCGTTTGTTGTGTTCACAAAATGCTTATTCAATGAAGTAAACTTCAGTTGTGACGAATGCTTAGACTTGATACTATCTATTAATGTGAGTTGGTTAGGGTTGTGATTATGAGTTTCAAATTAACAACAGCCGTACCGTTTAATGGTTAATCTGAAATACCTGTTATTTGTCTTTGCCCTCCATGTGAACTTGTAAAATTCAAGACCTTCTCAATATTTCCACCTTTTGTTCTATCGAGATAATTACTCAGATCAACACTTCCAACATCATGTTTCTTGGCTAATTCGCTGTCGGTATATGTTTTGTTACAAAGATCAATGCCAGCTGTAGGTGCGGCTGAGTTAATCGCCTTGAAATTATTGAGATCAAAGTTACCAGTCATTGCTTGACTTCCATCACGCAAAACAACAAGACCTGTATTTGGTTTGGTGGCAACTTGATTGTCAACATATTTTTTACTCGCTGCTTTATCATTAGCTATTGGTGTACCAAGATTAACGACCTGTCTGTCTCTATTTGGAAGATGACCGTCGAAAGATATAGTGCCATCGATTGTATTATCATTTCGCTTGTTGAAGTAATCGTTTAAATCACTTGAGTCAGCCTTTTTCCCCAACTCTGTTGTAAAAGTGGATGTATCAACTTTACTTGATAATTCAGAATTGAGTTTTTGTAGATTTACCACATCTTTGTTGCTTGTTGGATCAGCTACATTGATAATTTTGTCGTCTTGCATGTTGAGCGCACCTGTCATTGGTCGTCGCCCAACTGTATGAACGTGACTGTCAGTGTAAGCTTTTGTACAAGAATCCTGTGGATGAGTCGGTTCTTTTAAATTCTTGAGTTGTTTATTTTCAATGTCGAAATTTCCATCAGAAGTTTTTTTCAATCCTTCACTTGGTGGACCCGGTGGACCTGGTGCACCTGATGATGTAGTTCCCGTTTTGTATTTATTATGGTAACCATCAGAGAACACCATTTTACTTGTATTTTTGATTATGTTTTTTTCAAATAATTGATAATGAATTGTTCATTATATTTTGTATCAGTATGTGAAAAAGGTTTTACCGCATCATAATATGATTTTCCCTTGTACGATTCATTTACAAAATACAGACATTAATATCCACATAACACACTCATTAGATCTTGATATTGTGTGCTGTTGTATCGAATATTCACTTCCAACAATATGACAAATAATATAATTCTTGTGGAGCATTTAACCCAAAACTGTCGAAATATTCAATGATTGTTGGTTTAATGTTTATTATAACCCAATGCGAACCAGATTAGTCTGAGTCATTAAAATTAGCGATGTAATAACCACCTTCGGTGCACGCTTGATTTGATCTCTTGAGATGACATCTTTGAATTGTGGTATCTTTAGGTAATTGATCCACTTCGAAATGTCGAAATTTGAAATCGGTTTAATCACAAACTGTGGTTTTTTTACAAAGTTGCGCCGACAAGTGGGATTCCATTGAATGGGGAGTTTTTTCCGAGCAACAATCCTTTGCCCGTCTTTCTTTTTTTTGTTTTTTTTTGTACCTATACCAATCGTTGGTACTGGTGGAGCTAGAGGTAGATAATAAGGTATATACGGTCTATTTTGCATACTAGCGCCACCTTTACCGCTAGCCATTCTGTTTTGAAGACCTTTGCCGGTCAAAGCGTTCAAAAGTAGTGGAACACCGATCGAAGCCAATAAAGTTCCGAGAAAACCACCACGTTGCTTCACTGTCGGTTTTATCATTAATTCTCCCCCAGATTGAAGAGCATTTAATATGTCTTTTTTTTGTTTAACTGTCAATAAATGTTTATGATCAATAAGTTGTTGAATTTTAGAATTTGGAATGGGGAAACCTCCTACCTGTCCAGAGCCGAGAATTTTATCCATTGCAAAATTTCCCAAACTAGTTGTAGCACCTGTTTTATGCTAGTGCAGGTATAGCCTTTGTAACCAAATTCATTGCTTTTTGTAATAGTTTTGCACCCATACTGACAAGTGATGAAAACAAACTCCCACCTTCTTGAACAACTTTACCGATCTGCGTTTTACTGATTTTGATGTCAACACCTTTTTTCAAACTTTTAGCTTATTGAATTCTATTGATCTGAGTTTTAGTAAACATCAGTTCATCAGGTCCATCTAGATTTTCATGTGAGAGGCGAATATTCAAAGGTGATCTCTCATTTAGAGCTTTCGCTAATTTCAGTCTTTGATTTTCAGATAATTTCACACCATGTAGATGATCTTTTGTCATTGTGTTTTATATATGATTCATATATAATAAATTTTTTTTGATAAAGTTGAAAGTTGTTTTTATGTTCTTATGACAGCCTTTCCTTTTTACACATCGACACTTATCTCTTCCTCGTTAAGTATTAGTGCATATACAATATATTGAGCATTAGCCGCACCACTAAGATCGTAAGATAATTCTAGACTCGTCGAGTTATTCTTGAGCGAATCTGCCTGTTTTGTCAAATCAAAATATAGAATACCGTACAGATCTTTGAATGACTTAAGATCTATAGTTGGGCCAGACAGTTGATCATTGAAACCCTTGTTGTATTCTGTCAACATCCTCCATACTGTTGACATTTCATTAGTTGGTTCGATTGCATTTTGTGGGTAATACGTGCCAGTGCCCAAATTCAACCGTGCACTTGTAATCGTTCTTGCGGCAGCGCCTGGAATGTTGTAAGTATCAAAAACAAACATATTTTGTTCCGGGTCATTCATCTTTGCATTATTAGAACCCAGACAAAGACATGCCTTGGTTTTCTGATACTATTTGGGATATTGAAAAAGTGTTTTCGCAGTTGAGTTGTTGTGGTTACAATACTCTCATTAAGGTAAGACCATGTATGAGTTTTGAGGTACTTTTCAAGCCACATTTGTCGTCCTTCAGGATTGAATTCCATTTTTGGAACCCACAAAACAAATTTTTCGATAATATATCTACCAGCAGCAGCTGCTCCAGCTCTGAACAGAACATTATTATCACTTTCTAATTGTATTTGAAAATCGACCTTCCCATTTGGTGCGATTTGATTTTTAAATGACTGAAAAAAGCCGAAACGATTCAATGGAAGAATGATATTATTTGTTGCACCACAAGCAAGAAGTACCTTCCTTTGTGTAAACCCATCATTATAATTAGCGTTATCTGTTGGTGTAATATTCTGTGCGTTTCCATCAAGTTGAAGTGTAGTCTATTTTTGAATAACCGCTCCAGTAGCTGTATCGGGGTAATGAAACATTGACGGGCCTTCTTCTTTGCTATAAACCTTTGAAAAATCTATGAGACTTTTGACATTGATAGCATGATTAGTGTTTTGTGAGTCAAGGACTTTAACACCATCAAAGTTAACTTTCATCTGTTCTATTATTCCAAACCCATCGTTCATAATTGCAGCAGCATCAGCTGCACCGTAAGCTGTATTGTCCATTTTCGTAATTTTCAAGTCGATCTCAAAATAAGCATTATACCAATCTATTGGTAACTCCTCACTATTGTTTTCAATGCTAAATTGATAGCCGCTTTTGGTTTGATATGCATTATTTCCAGGGATAATGATCGGTGTTTTCAAATTCACTTGTTGATAATCGTATTTTTGGAGAAAATTTCTAAACGATGACATTTTGTTATTCTTCAATATTTTTTTATTTTTCAATTATAAAGTTAACAATTCGTCAAACTGGTTAGATATAGAGTTTTTTGGTGTTGACTTTGTAGTCTTTGACTGTTTTTTAGGTTGATTTTGTGTGCTCTTCGAGTTCCTTGACATCACTATTTTAGCGATTTCATCCCCTTTATTTTCATTAGTTTTATTAACTTTGTTGGTGCTGAGTTTGTCATAGATTTTTTCTCCACTTACTTGTCCTGTTTTCTTACCAACCTCTTCAGCACCTTTTTCAAAAGCTTTTTCAGCCGCTTTTGTTGCTAATTTCTTCGCTGTTTTACCTGTCACTTTTGTTACTATTTTTTTCGCAATATCAAATATACCTGCACCTTCATAGGTACCACAATAGATACTTTCACCATTTTCGTCTCTTTCACGTCTTTGATCTGGCATTTTTGAATATACTCGATAAAAAAAATTATTCATTGTTTTATCACTTGAAGCGAGTGATAAAAGAAACAATTTTTCATGTTGCCAAAGATTTTATTCCTCTGCTACTCGAACTGATTTCACTTGATATTTTTCTTTTAAAATCAAGGTTAATGACATTGGAATATTGTTCAGATCCAAAGGTCTGCCCAACCCATCAGAAATATAAATTCTTAAATCTCTTAGTGTGCTCGTATTGATTTCATTGAACATGGCTCTCTGGGGTACAATATGAAATGGATACGACAATGGTAGATTGTCCACACACAAACCGCCGCCTGGTTAGCTCAATTGGGAGAGCGCCGGACTGCTGTGCGGGAGGTCGAGAGTTCAATACCGGCCGGACCAACACTCAGGGTCTTAAAATTAACTGAGAAGAATATGCTTCCTTTCTTTAACATCAAGAAGTGGTTAGATATTCTAGTCTTCTCGGATAGGGACGAATAAATGGAGGTCCCGTCTCCTGCAGGGTTAGGGGCAGGAGACGTTAATTTCCCACGCACGAGATTACTGTGTGATGGATGTCCTCCCCTGGGGTGGGTTGGGTGGGTATACAGCGCTTTGGACAATTAGTGGATTTTAGCGCTATATAAATACAATTATTATTATTATTATTATTAATTATTATTAAATCGGTATAATACATCCGATGCGACTCCTGAAACAACGCTTTCAGACATAGTATTAGTGTGAAGGAGTATATTGTCTACAGATCTCGTTATATTAGGTAAGTTCTGCCCGTATCCGGTTGATGTAACGATCGATTTATTAAAACCAGTAAGGCTAGCAAAACCACCAATTCTCAAGTCCACCTGAAAATTGGTTTCCAGGGTCATCAACACTTTGAATAGTGATGGAACAAATTCGATTGTGATACCTTTCTTTGGATGACTATTTGAATCATGTTCTTGCGGTATATGACCATTTGATTTGAGTTCTCGTTTTACATATGGATTCAATTCTTCATATGAAAACTTGCCATTCGGAAGTGTTACAGTATGCCACGTTCTACCTGCATCATTGCTATAAGATAGTTTATGATTGTTGTAGCTACTACTCACATTGTACCAACTGTGTGACATTTATAAAGAGTCAAGAGCTATCTCAAAGTATTTGTTTTTATCCACATTTAATGCTGGATTGAAGCGAATTTTAATATCGTGGCTTTTCGAATTTACAACACCATCACTTGAGTCAATAAAAATTGGTATGTTAATTTTATACATTACATATAAAATGATTTACTGAATCTTTTTTAAATCAAAAATTTTTGAACATATTTGTCGTATTGTTTCCTTGAAATTTTTTCATTTTTCAACAAGAGGTCGATAATTTCCTATGACTCATTTCGGAGTTGTATGTTTGTATTACCATTTAGACGAATTCCTGTTAATAAAGTTAGCCTTTCCATTAACTGCTCTGGAGATGTATAATAAATTTGTCCACCGCGAAAGTGATTTTTTCTTTTACCTTTTCCTTGACTGACGAATACCACTATCACTGGTTTCAACGCTAGAACCATTATCACCACCTTCATCACCACTGAAGAACTCACTATCACTATCATCAAAAATAAGTTCCTGACCCTTGTTTAACAACTTTATACGATCTCGATAGTTTTGCAATAGCTTGATATCATTCTCTACTTTTTCGATTTTTTCTTTATTTTTCTCTTTATTTTTTGAAAATTCAGCTTTTTTACCCCCAAGCTTTTGTAGCTGTTTACCAATGCTTTTATCAAAATCACTCCAATTCAACGTTTTATTAATTAATTCCTCATTTATGGCGGATGGTGGAGCTAAGTTATATTGCATTAATATTTTTATTTCATCTCCGCTAAATTTTTTATCACTATCTGGCATCTCAATCAATTTTGCTTTGGGACTTGGTGGTAAATCTGGTGGTGGAAGTGCAGATGTTGTCGGCTGCACCTGAGGAGCTTGGATTCCTGTGGTTAATGCGTTTTGATTTTCTGTTAATTTCGCAATGACTTTATCCTGTCTATCGTCGATTGTTTCTTTCTCCTCTTTTACCCTGCTAACAATGGGTTGAAATATTTCCTCTCTTTCGAACCGCATATCTTGTCGTTTATCACTTATGTCTTGTAATGTGTTCTTAACATTTTGTCTTAAACTTTCAGCACTCAGTTGTTTTTCAAGATTTTTACTAAATTTTTCAACGTCCATATTTTTATTATAAACAACAAAAATAATCATAAATGAAATTTTCAACTCATGAGTCGTGAGTTGAAAAAATTTTGATGTAAAGGACAAAATCGTTAAATCATCGTGAATTCACGATAATTTAAAGATTTGTCCCAGACTCATGAGCACTCATGAGCGTGAGTAGACTGATTTGCCGTTAAATTAAAGTAGATGTTCGATAATTTAACGATTTTGTCCCAGAACCCGCCTTTCTACGCTACTTGCTCGCTGAACGGGTGTGTTTTAACTGAGTTCGTTCTTTGGTTCCCTTGTGAAGCATTGTTATTTGGTTCGATGAACATTTCTCTTTGTTTTTGTTTTTTGGTTCTTTATAGTATCATTTTCTTTGGGGTTGCCCCTTTCCAAGCTCATAACATAAATATGTCAGCTTACCTGGCACTTTGGTTATCAATTTTTATTTGATGAAAAAAAAAAAAAAATAGCAGGAGGTACCCTCAGCAACAAAGCATATCAATAACAAAGTTGAGTGAACACAATTAAACGGTCTCTTATTTCACTCAACCTTCCAAAATTTATTGAGACTGTTACAATAAATGTACACGCTTAGCGTGACTAATGATTTGACTTGATACTTTTGGCTAAATTTAAACTCTATTTCAAGATTTTGAAATATGTTTTTAGATCTATAACAATGTGCAAACCGGGAATCTGTGGATTTCTCACATCAAATCCGGCAACATTAAAAGGCTCTAGACATTGAAAGCTTAGCTTTGACACCAAAGAAGTTAAGATATCTGAGGCGTTGCAACTCAAATATCTCTTTATAGAAGAACTATGTAAAAATTCTACTTTTATTTGATAACGTAAATGAATCCAAAAGCGATTTCACTTATAATTATTCAGGTTAAGATTTTACTTGTCTCTAACTACTAATTTCCACTGGTGGAAATAGGACATCTCAATAACAATGTTGAAAATGTCCAAAGCACGGAAAAAAGGTGCTGATCAAATCCATCAATGTATCGTTCCTTACTGCGGTGTGCGTGGAGGGCTTTCGATTCCCGATGCTTGTTTCTTGGACGGGACGTTTGAATGTTTCGGATTGTTCCCGGGCAGCATCGTTTTTCTAAGCAGAGCAAATCAGAAAAAAGGTGTTAAACGTTTTACATTAAGGTTAAAAACGTCTTGGGCTATCCGGATGAATTATAACTGAGTTATTGTGCTTATGGATATAGCTATACTGATATGGAAATAGATTTCACCTCTAATTTTTTAACTGTTCTATTAACATCAAATCAGAATAACTTAGATAATAATGGTAAGAAAGAAAACAAAGCAAAACATAAAGACTGCAATTCATGTATTTACGTTAGGGTACCCCTTACAACAGTTAAACAAGTTATACATTTTAGGCCATTAATTACATCATTAATCAACTTTCAAGTTTCAAGTTTATCAGGTCTTCCAAAACAATTACTAACAATAAACACCGCCTGCAAATAGCAACAACAACAACAAAAACAACGAACCGTTTAACCATTTATTTGCCAAAAGAACAACAGATTACGTCGGCAAATGGATAAGACACGTAAACAGTAATTAAGCAAAACAAAAAAACAAAAAACAAAACACTTAGAAATTAAGGAAAAAGCTTATCAAGGCGAGTGTTGACATGAATTTTTAATATATTTATATTTGCTTGTAATGCAGTTTAGAATCTCCTTATCAAGAATAAGTTCTTAACTTTATCAAAAGGTGAAAATAAAGGTTAGTGTCCCTGGTGTAATTCCTATGGTACTGGACTGATGTACTACAAACTGATTTACCTTAAAGATTAACATTGATATTCTACCTTTACCATGATAAAGGACTGTCCTGCTTTGATATCTCGCTGACTTAAAATGTTCTTTATACGAACTTTTAGCAGGCTGAGCTGGATACAGACATTCAGTGACCGATGAAGGTTCAGTGTTTCGGCTTGTTCCCGAAAACGGGAACAAGCCGAAACATTGGACCTGCATGGCCTGTACTCCTCGTGACACATGTCCTGTTATTGCTTGGTTTACATATGTATTTAAGACTAGTTATACATATCTAATGATATTGAAAAAAAAGTATAGAGAATCGTCATAAGCATCCTAACATACGCGAAAAACTTTTGGCTAAGTTGCAAATACTGTGTCGTTTTCGTCCATGTCATTGATTGTTATCATTATTCCTCAAGATATCTCACCGGTAAATACAAGGTTTATAGCCTTACTGCGACTATAATATGACTAGAAATAAAACAATTATGCAGTAGTACCTCTTCAGGCTGCCCGGAGCTGACCCCTGGGGTAAGCTGTGGCATCTCACGATCCATACAGCTTTTCCTTAGTTCTGGAAATGGATTTGATAAACGCAATATTTGATTAAGAGGAAGGAAAAAAAAAGATTGTAATATAATACTTTCGAAAAAAGATCCTAGACTGCGTTTTTGCAGGAAATAAGGTACTGTAGAGACAAAAGATCGCTGGAGTTTATTGTCTTCTAACGCCTTTTCAGGTTTTTTTTTAACATACCGTTAACATCAAGAAAGATCAACTTGTTCTTAATTGAGTAAAGAAAGTAATCTGGGTTTGCACTGCAAGCTTTTCGATTGGTCAAGAGGACTCAGGCAAACCTCAACCAATCAGAAACAACACTAAAAGCTACAGCTTGAAAGTTTGCGTTTTCCGTGCTAAAGTTCGTTTACATGTTTGTCCACTGATTGGCTCCTCGTGGTAACTCCCTTTATTCTTATTGGCTGTGATAATTCCTCCAATGTTAAATTGAGGAATGGCTAATTGTCGCGAGTGAGTTAAATAGTATAGTTTGGAGTTTTCTAGAGAAGTACATTGGAAGAACAGGTATGGAAATAATGGGGGAAGAGAACCAACTACAGCCATAACTAAAGTGGTGCATCAAACATGGGACCCAACTGTAGCGTGATCTCTTTAGTACGGTTTTTTGTCAGTTATCGATGGGAAGACAAAGAAATCAAAAGAAGAACAATCTGAAGGGGAACAAATTAAAGCTAAATAATAAACACTATAAATAACAAGCTTGCCTTTCCGGACTATTTCTCCGGCTTTTATATTTCCAATTTGGTTCAGAGCTAGCAAGAGATCTTGTACCGTTACATGTCGATTGGTAAGATCATCTAACAGCTGGCTACTGCTTTCTAATGGAGCCAAGCCTCCAGAATAAAATAAAGGAAATCCCTTTATCGCGAGTACTTTCCAGTTGACCGTGGGGCCTTTTTCAAGCGAACGAGAAAGACGTTCTAGGCACTTTACAGACAGCCGGTCAAGAAACATGTCCTAAAAAACAAAGGTGCTTGTGAGTTGCAATGGCGCTCTGACTGAGGACTGAGGTAAAGGTTACCTTGGGATCTCTATTTCTTAATTCATTTTGAGACATCTCCATCTCTGCTTCCGATCCAATTCCTCATAGTTCAAGGTGCAAGGCTATTAAAATATACGACTCAGATTCATACAAACCTGCCAAAAGACGTCCCGTATCTGAGTAAAATCCATCAATTCTTCCTCAACGGAGATTTTTCGTTTTCTCGGGCAACAGCAAGGGAACTGAAAATTGGAGAGATAATAGATAAGAATCTCCAGCCCCAATGACCTAGTCAAACCGACACAATCGTCGCGCAATCGTCAGCCAATCAACTCTCGTGTGTCACGCACTGCATGGGACCTCATTAGGTACCAAGTTAAGTAATAATTCTAAGTGAATATAGGGTTCTCATTAATGAAGGGTCACTTCCCTTGCACACAGAAAAATTGCAGCTCTTTTTCAGGTAAAACATAAAATCATGCGACATCAGCGTTTTCCTTGACGAACAGATATTTTTGTCTCCACTTTGGTATTCCCTGTATTAGTTAGTAGGCTGCCAAATTATTGATAGGGTGCAGTGATGCTGTTTTACATGTGGCATATACGTTGAACTCAGTAATTCAAATTCGTGATTTGACTCCTAAGTTTCTAGGATAATTTCCACTAATCAAAATTTTGCTTAATCGTCAACATTTTACTGAGCGAGAAGAAACAATTTGAAGCTTTTCATCAACACAGGTCAGTCCCTTGTAAACTGTCCCTCATAAAAAGCCGGGTGAGTTTAGTGAGTTCGCAGGAATGCAAGAGAACACTCGCAATGTAAAAAGAACATCCGAACGCCCGTGCAGGAGCGCATAAACTTAGCTACAGAGAGTACAAATCTGCGCAATAGTGACTCAAACCTTTATGGCGCCTGAATCCTTTCGTTTGTATACATACATACATACATCCATACAGAACCTTTATTAACGTGTCTAGTCGTTCTAGTGCCTGTAAGCACTAATTGGGGACACCCAATGGGAAGAAGGCATGAAAATACGAAGTGGCATTCGAAGCTTTTTAAGTTTCATGAAATTATAATAAGAATAATGGTATGATAACTACTTACTGTCCTTAAACTACAATGGTCCGAATCCGATAATACGAAATCTAATGTGAGAGAAAGTTAAAGTCTAACCAAAAATTTCCAAACGGAACGATGCCTGTAAAATAATGATTACATCAACAGAATCCAGGGTTTAGTTACTGATATTCATCCAATCTCATTTCCACTTTAATGGTAAAGGTCGACAAAGCCAACCTCGAGTATTGAATCTGCGTATGTTCACCGGGAATACACCACCGTAGGAATTGGTTTTCGCGGAAAGTATAGTATCTTAAATTGATCTACTCACAGCTCTCCAGCATTATTTATGTATTCAAACAGATATTGTTTCACTGTTGAATATGAACCTATGTGACCGACTTTATCATATGTACAGTTCGGTTCCATTGACTAAAATTATGATTTCGAAGTTCGCAAAGCATTGACCTATGCAAATTATTTTCTTTCCGCGGGGATTCCCCGTTTTCAAATGTGCTTCACCAGCACATTTTACTAAGACAAACAACTTACATGTCTTGTCCGATCTTTTGTGTAAACAAAACGCCTCAAAATGCATGGAAATTTAATTTTCTAAGGAGTTCACAGCTAACGTTGGTGAAAAGTTTGATAAACATATCAACAAGCCCTGTTAAGAGAGTTTGTTAAGAGTACGGTTCGTGCGCCTTCACCTGCAAATCTTGCTGACATAACAAATTTCGTGTCTTGACTGGGCACATACCGCCTCAAAACACGAAGACGTAAAATTTGCTAAGAAGTTCTCGCTAACGCAAGTGAAAATTTAACTAATAGATCAATCTATTCTAAGAAGCAACACTTTATTAAGATAGCAGTGATGCGATCTCTAGGGAATTTATTTGAACCAAAGGTTATACAGAAGCGAATGGAGTAGTTGTTTTGATACAACACTTCAAGTACAAACCTCTGTCTGTCGCGGAACAACACTGGTCAGTTTTTGTGGCGAGATATTTCAGGCTCCTGAAAACACAAACAACGAAATTCGCTTCTCGAAACAACATGAAGTATTCAGAGGTTAAGAGAGCCCAACATTCTAACTGTGACGATTACCACTGTAGCATGAAAACTGGTTACCTTAGCGAGTCGGCGTTTGAGAGAAAATCCACAATATGAACTTGGTATGAGAAATATCCACTTTGTCTTCGATCTACGATCAAAATTCAATCGTAAGGAACTTGAATCTATATCTATGGTCAACTTAAATTTTCCTTTTATAATTCTTAACTGATAAATCTTTACGACCTACCTGACTGAAGCAGCTGTGAATTGTGTGAGGTAAGGGACTGTTTGTATTTATGGGGTATCAAAGAGGTTTCCCCCTAATCAACTAAACAGCCTATCACAGCGCGGCATCTATGGCAAAGTTCAACATGGTTTGATATGATTGGTGGTATCATAGTTAGTAGAGAAAAACAGAATTGTGTTCATTGATGTTATTTAGATGCTATATAAGAGTCTTATAAGGGATTTCCCCTAATTGACCAAGCACGTGAAGGTTAATACTACTTGACTGATTTGATTGGTTAGATGAAGGAAAACACGAGTGTAGCCCCTTTTGCCATTACAAATGGCGAGTTTTGTCAGGCAATGAACTTTAATCAGTAGCACGTGTATGATTTTTGGATGTTTTAATAATCTGGAGGCAGTGAATAGGAAAGAGAGATCCTCTGTTATTATATAGATACTGATGAAATACCAGGATGTCTCCTTTTACTAAAAAGGAAAGTATCTCTCACGAGTGAGCGCAGCGAACGAGTGAGAGATACTCTCAGCACTCGAAGATAAAATTCGTATCCACAAGCGGCCATATAATATCCTCTATTTCCACTCTGAGTTCCCTCTTACTTAAAACCCCGCTGCAAGATTAAATCAAACAAAAGGACATGTTTGTAACTTAGCTAAGCTGTTCAGAGGAAAAACTAGTGCAATCAATAACATTAGAAATTGAGAATCAAGAAAGATTAGGATAATCCTGCCATGGGCTTATGTAGTGGATGATCCCAATAAAACACGGAATTTTCTCGCAAGGAATAGCTTCTTTTACAGCTAGAATAACAACGCGTATTTCACGTGCTAACATCTGTGCAGCCTCTGTTCTTGATGCTCAATATATAGAATATCCTGATGACTACTCAGAACACTCAATTCCTTCACGCAACGCTCCTGTGAATGAGCTCAACGACCTCAACGTGACATGGCGAAAAGATCTGCGTTTATTAACAGCCTCCTTAGTCTTTTCGATTTTAGGTGATAGAACAATGTTTCTTCTATGACTTTAAGTATTCTTTTAAACCAAAGCTATACTTAAAGGAGGTTCAAATCCACCGCATTTGTCTTCAAGCGATGCAAAAATATTAATTCGAAAGTTTTAATTTGACCACGTTCCGGCTTGTCAAAGAAAGTGACACTTAGTGGGAGCATATATGAACAAAAAACTTTCTTTTGCGACCGTGCGCTGCAAGCACGTGTTAATTTTACGGCTGTTATCCAAGATGGTGGGAGATGCAGATTGGATTGGATCGAAAGGACTCGATTAATTAAATAGTTTTTTTTTTTTTTTTACTTCCCTGTTGCCATTGCATTCTCATATTCCAATAACTTCCTCTAAAAACAAGCATAAGGTGATAATGAGAAAAGGGAAAAGAGGCAAGAAAAGCAAAACGACAGGAAAAACTACTAGTAAAAATGTTCCCACGAGAAACGTATTTGTGGACGATGAGATATTTGAAGATGACGGCGAACTTGACCCTGAAGACTTGGAGTATTTTCAAGATTCCGGCAGGAGTTTTGCCTTTTTGCAACAAGTGGAAGCAGAGTAAGTTTTGTGGTGTTGTAGATTTGTTTGATGTATACAAGCAAGTGATAAGCAGAAACAAGAAGTGTAAGGATCTCATAAGAGACTCTAGCCGGAGTGATGTGGTCGCTAATTTAACCCTTTTTCCCCTTGGAGTGACTAGTATCTCACAGTACCACCCCTAAATCACGCAGTGAGTTCACGAGAATTAGGGAAAGGACCACAAACTAAAAGAGCTCTTGATTGTTAATCAAGTTCTCTTTGTCAGCAGGTTTGAAAATTCGTAGAGAACAGTATGAAGAATATGTATAATGATGTTAGGGTGAACACTGTATCGGGTTGAGTACATTTTGCACCAATTTTTTTATCCACCAATATCACTTAGCTTTGTGTACCCATTATGCTGTGGACAACATGTACAAATACACTGTAGCTGACAAGTTGTTCTATCCTGGTTTAGGCTCCCAAGTAGTGGAAAGAAAAGAAAAAGAAAGCAAACTGCGGATGAGGAAAGAGAGGCCGATTATGAGAAGAAGCCTAGAACAGCACCATTAGAGCAGGATCACAAGGAAAGAGCCTTACTCCCAATCAAAACTAAAGACAGTGTTATACAGAGGAAGGAGAAGATTCTTAAAACAGGTGCTTGTGCATGCATATTATTTGTACAGAGGTATTCATGGTGTACATCTTACAACTCTGCTCATCTGACAGGGATGGTTGTCAAAAACAGGGACATGGTTACCACAGATCAGGGAAGAGTCATGGAATTCATAATTGAACATTTGACTGTTTTCATACAATGTAGAGTCAAGCTACCAATTGTACTGACTCAGCTGCTACATTCTTTTTTTTTTTTTGCTAGTCTTTGTCCACGTAGGTTGTCATAGAGTCAGTCAACTTAAGGGCTAATGCTCAAAACGTCAGTTCAAATAGACACACTTTGCGTGCTGTGCAATTTGAAGCTTCAATGTCCCCTCCCCTTCCCATGGGCAGATTGCTGTTGTCCATGCCTGGAGGGTGGGGAATTTGAACCTTATATGGTTAGGGTGAGGAATTTGAACCAGAATGATCAAGTCTTTCCAGCAGACCAAGTGTTATATCTTTAAATACATGTATGGAGGTGTTTCAGGTAAATGGTTTACTTTCATAAACAAAAAAAATTAATGGCTTAGAAGAAAAGGTTTTGCTTTTGTACAAAAATGTGAGTGGGCTATTTGAACACAATAATATTTTTGTCCCTAAGGGCAGGAATTGGAACAGAACAACCTACTAAAGCTCAAATACCTGGGATAGTTGTCAGGAAGGGGGGGAGGGGATGCTTAAGCTTTAAACTGATCAATGCATATTATGGTGGCCATCTTACATCATCAACTCAGTTGACAAAACCAATGAAATCAACTTCAATGATGGCTATCTTTCTTGCCAAATTAGCCCTCACCCTGAGGATCTAATGGCTACTTTAGCAGGCCTACTTTCTGGTATTTTTCTTATACAAGTCATGTAACTTAATCCACAGTTCTTGATATTAATTCGTTTGTTTCATAGTAGTTCTGTAGTGTTTTCTAATGCAAAAGGGACAAAAATTAAATTAAAACCAAGCATTGAATTGAACTGAATCTCATATACAGTAGTTGTACTTGCTTCTACTCATAAATGAAAGAATTGTACATTTTTTGTATATTAAAATTGTATTACAGGTCATTCTCTTCAAAATGGGGGTGTGGATTCAGAGGAACAAGCTCTAGAAGTGTCGCCAGTCCCTTCAGCACCTCCACCGGTTTTAAGTATGGTTGAACTCTTTAATCAAAGACGACAGAAGCTGATCCAAAGAAAACATAGGATTGCGGAGTTATCCAACAGCATTTTGGAAAACCCTGAAGGCAGTGTAAGTGCTCCTCTGGTTGTGAGTGACTTAACAACACGAACTGTAAATATTGCAGTTAAATTGATTGTGTTAATCACAGCAGCTGTTTATAGCTGAAGAATTCTAATGGTTGTTATAAATAAGAATGTGAAATATTAATTAACAGTCATTCAAAGGCATCTTAGTGTCAGGAATGTAGGATGATACATGTAGTAAAATGAATTGTATACTAAGTTACAGGTTTTCATCAACCCTTTAAATCAAACATATATGGGTTGCAAAAATGGCTGTGAATTAAAAGAAATCACACAGTATCATCATGATAATTACATTGTACTTGCACCAATCTGAGAACTTAACAGCTAAATGTTTCATTTTGCATTTTTTACCCAAGGTATCAGAGCTTCAGGAGCTTTGTTCCATGTGCTACGAAAAAGAGGCCGATATCAGAATAACAACAAAAAAGCTGGCAATGGTTTCTTTATTGACAGTGTTCAAGGATATCATACCTGGGTGAGTGTGCATCTATAGAAGGTATCAGTAAAGTAAGGAAAGATATTATTATGGGACAATAAACTTAATTCCTAGTGGATTTGAGTTACATACATGCATACATACATACATAGGTTAATTGACCACTCCCCACAGGGCTTTTCAGGGCCAACACCCACCCATCCCACCAAGCGGAGGACATCCACCACCCAGTAATCTCGTGCGTGGGATATTAGCGTCTCCTACCCCTAACCCTGCAGGAGACGGGGCCTACAGTTTATTTGTCCTTATCCAAGAAGACTAGAATATCTATCCATGCATAGAAAGGTAGCAAATTCTTCTCACTTATTTTAAGACCATGAGTATTGGTCTGGCCAGGGCTCGAACCCTCGACCTCCCGCACAAGACAATCCGGCGCTATGTTGCTATGATAATGTGATTGTTGCTATGATAATGTGATCGGCGCTAGAGTTGCTATGATAATGTGATTGTTACTTAATTTTTATGTTACAGGTGTGTTTAAATTTGATAACTTTGAGGTGTTTTCTACTATTGTCACATACACTCCAGATGGCCTGCACTTTGACTGGCTACTTATTTCTAAAGTGCTAGCTACTATATCTAGACAAAACAGTTAATTACATGTGGTGATCTTAAGACAATTTTAACATTTGCTGCATTCTTTTTTTCAAATGGCTGGATACTTGACAATTCTGGAGGACACTGAGTTTTCACATGCATATAAGTGAAAGGAGTGTTTTTATTGATTTATGCTTTGTGATTTTAATTCAGATATCCAATTAGGACAGCTTCAGAGAAAGAGCAAGGTGTAAAGGTTGGTTTAACATGTAAAGTAATGAATTTAATTCAGCTTCAAATTTTATCAAAAGTGTTAATGTTAATTAATGGATTAATAAATACATGTAGATCACAAATGATAAAAACCATTGCAAGAAAACAAAATATCACAGGAGGTGCAACTGAGCAAGCCAGTGATGTTCTTTGCACATTTTAAGATCTGATGAGATATCTTGCCCATGGCAAGGTAAATATAACAAAGTAGCAAAATGTAAAGTTAACTTAGATTTGGGGAGAACCTCTCTATGATATAGAGGCCTTTTGGCCTGGAATTATAGTATACCAATCAGTCTAAAACAGGCTCTCTCTTCAATTACTTTGAAATATGCTCTACAGAATGTGTATAAAAATCAATAGGTCAACATATTATTTCAAAATCTCACAGAAACACTAAGATTTCATATATTACTTCACAACTATTTACATAGTACTTTTAAATTTACAATATTTGGTAAATTTTAATTAGTAAAATACTGTCATATACTGTAGATGTAGGTCCACATCAGCTCAGCTACCTTTAATTTTAAGCTACCCTAAATAAAGTATGAAATTGTTCAGTAGGTACTCGTGTATGAACATAATACACTGTATATAAATGGTGATGTCATCTAAATGTCTGCGCTTCCAATCAAACCAAACAAACTGCATGTATAATTCAGTTTATTACATAACAAGTCATGTTTATTAAATAACATGCAATACTATTGTTGTGTGAGGATGGTTATCAGTTCAAGCCATTTTCTGTTTTTCATTTCTCTCTTTGATGATGTTTACTTGCTATTTTTCAGCTATCCAAAGAGGTGAAAAAACTGAGAGATTATGAGCAAGGGCTTTTGAAAAACTATCAAAAATACTTACAGATTTTGGAAGAAACAGTACAAGGTACAATTATACTGACCTATGACAACCTGTGTTGTTGACATGCATGATACTGTATTTCTTTGAATGAGTGCCTTGGCACTTGTATTTAATTTAGGCTAAAAGGTAGGGTGCTTATTGGAAGGAGGGCACCTCCTAGCAGGGGGGGGGGGTGAATTTTATCTAATGGGATACTTTAAACTTAGTACAGTACAATAATTAGCTCTCTGAAGAGACCAGCTGCAGAATGTTATATGCACCAAGTTTTTTTAAGATCATTTTTTATGCTAAAATTACTAGAGGTCAAAAAGTAAATGATTTTAGTACAGTATTGTGTGATTATGAATCAGGTACATGAAGTTTATCAACTGCTTTTCCTGTTGCAATATGGTTATAGATAATTTATACTCATTATTCCTAGTAACTGTACATTCTTTTTCATTTTGTTCTTTTTTAATTCTTCAGAGTGTGTTAAAACTCAGAAAAGAAGTTCTAAAAATGGATTGATTGACAAAAAATCATCATCTGAGGTACAGTTAAGTGAGAGATAGATAGATAGATAGATAGATAGATAGATAGATAGATAGATAGATAGATAGATAAGATCTTTATTGACTTGGAAAAAATAAAAGAAACACGTCCAGAGACAAAACGTCTGGACTTACAATTTTCTACATATATCAATTCATTATGTATATACAAGACTAAGTGGCTACACAAATTCGTAAAGACATCTATTAAAAAAGCAACTTTTAAAACGTTCGGTTCTAACTAGAGGTAAGATGTACTTATGTCCTCTTTTCCTGAGAGAAGTCTGTTTTCTCAAATACTGGTACTTGTACCATTAACTTACTACTTCACATGTGGCTCTGCTTTTCATTAATGGGCTTTTTACTTCCCTAGTGTTTCTCAGAGAACTTGTTTCACAGTAATGCTCAGAGATAATTATGTTACCCCTTTAACTCCCAAGATCTGATTATTAATTCTCCCCTCAAACTGCTACGCATTTCCTTGCAAGTGTGTAAAGAGAATTTGAAGGTAGATCAATATGAATATGTACATATATAGTATTGTGCATGTAAATTTAGTGTACATGCATATAGATAAGGGTATACACATTTTAATAAATGTACTTATAAATTGTGCATATATGCACATAAGTCTACATATCTGTGTGGGCTAGCTTTTTGTTTTTCCATTGATTATGGGTAACTGATCTAAAGAATAGAATGACTGCACTAAAATACTACATGACTACGAACTACATGTTGACATGTCAGTTTCAATTACTGTTTTCCACTGAGATTGACTGTTTTTGACTGAGATTGTATTTCTGTGAGACGAGTGCTGCTGATCTTTGCATATATTGCCTTTGAAACATGTTTTAACATTGTTGTTGATTTATATTCAGTGTGTCGTAAATATTTATTTGTCAAACAGAACATCATCACGATATCCTGTCTTGTTGATAAAAACTGGATCCATGTTCAGCAATGATGTATTGCTGTTCATAGGTGAAGACTCTGATTTAACAAAAGGCTATGCTTATTTTCTTTTCTGGTACAGTGATTTCAACTGAAGTTAACCTGCAAAGATCAGATTGATATTTAGAACCAATTTGGTTTTTATATTTTATTTTTCAGAGTTTGATGCTTGTAACAGTTCAGTGTATGTGTGATCTACTGACATCTGTGCCTCACTTTAATTTCCACACAAACCTTATTGCAGTACTTGTACCTAGAATGAATGAAAAATCTCTTGATGGCGAGGTTAGGCAATAGAATTTATTTATTGTTAACACTGTGATAATAATTTTTACTCATATCAGTATGAATTAATGGAGTTGTGTCAGAGACAACTTTAGGCATTTCTACATGTTCACATGTAGTCCTTTAGTTAACAATCAATTATAGAATGAGCTTAAATATTCCATGAAAAGTCAAGAGCAGCCATGGATAGGCAAAACTGGAGGGTATTCACTAAAGGTACTGTAGTTGAACAATCTTGAAATGTGCTACAAGTGATATTATCTTGTAATGTTTCTACAATTGTACAGTGCTTGTTCTATATGTGCCATATGTTTTGTCTTCAAACTACATGTTGTACAAGCTCACACATGACTTGTGTGAATAAGATTTCCCTAGAATGTACATGTACAGGTATTTCTCTCCAAAATTAGCTAGATAAACTATTATCTGTAGTGAAATTGATCAAATTAGTAATGGTTTATTCCTTTCTCAGATTTCAGAGTTGTGCAGTAATGCCTTTATATCATTGTTTAAACAAGATACAGTGGGAAGTGTTTCCCTTGAGGTATGCTTGCATGATTATCGTGAGGTATAATTATGCATTTTACAGGATTTGATTTGTGCCAATTTTGCAGGTTGCCCCCGCTGCCAAAATTTAAGTTCTTGAAGAAATGTAGATCTATCCCATCTAATCAAATGCTGCAAAACTTTGTTTGATAGGATAGGGTTTTTGTATGGATTTGTTGTAAGTGTGTTGAGCAGAAGGTATTACATGTACCGGTACCCTCTGGGAATTTTAAAAAATTCAGCAAAACATCTTTAATAATTTGAATGGGCAAATTAATGCTATTAGACAATGTTACTACAAAACTTTCAGCAATGCTGCCTCAATGGAAAGTGCTGTGAACAATTACACACTGACAGGGGTCTTCAAATCCTTGTAAGAATCCTTTGGAATGGAAAATCTACAAAATAATGTACTTGTTTGCACATGAATACATTGCTAAAAACTTTTTCTAACTCTGTGTTTACTAAATTTGTCAGGCTGTCCGAGTAATCAGTAAATTTGTAAAGAGTAAAGGATTTCGAGTTCAACCCTCTGTAAGTACATGTGATTGAACTTAATTTTGTTTATTGCTATTTAACAATTATCTGCCAGTTCCCTTCCTTAACAGTTCCATCATTTTAGTCCCTTCACTCTGTACATGTAGCTACACCCTTGGACCCCCTTCTCCCCTGTAGCTACACCCTCGGACCCCCTTCTCCCCTGTAGCTGCACCCTTTGACCCCTTTCTCCCGTAGTTCTACATGTGGTAGTTTAACTCTTGGGTCCCCTTCTGCCCCTGTAACAACACCCTTGGACCCCCTTCCCCCCTGTAGCTACACCGTTGGACCTCCTTCTCCCCTGTAGCTACACCCTTGGACCCCTTTCACCTGTAGTTATACATGTGGTAGTTTAACTCTTGAGTCCCCTTCTCCCCCTATAGCTACACCCTTGGATCCCCTTATCCCTGTAGCTATACCCTTGGACCTCCTTCTCCCCTGTAGCTACACCCTTGGACCCCTTTCTCCTGTAGTCATACATGTGGTAGTTTAACTCTTGGGTCCCCTTCTCCCCCACATAGCTACATCCTTGGACCCCCTTTCCCCTGTAGCTATACCCTTGGACCTCCTTCTCTCCTGTAGCTACACCCTTGGACCCCTTTCTCCTGTAGTTATACATGTGGTAGTTTAACTCTTGGGTCCCCTTCTCCCCCTATAGCTACACCCTTGGACCCCCTTCCCCCTGTATCTACACCCTTGGACCTTCTTCTTCGTGTAGCTAAACTGTTGGGGCTTCTTCCCCTTGTAATGCTACATCCTCAGACTCCTTTCCTCCCTTACCTTCACCTTATGACTCTTTTCCTTCTGTAGCTGCTCCCTTGGACCAATACCCTTTTACATGTAGCTTCACTCTTGATCCCTTTTCACCCCTTTCCCCACACTTATGAACTTCTCTCCCTCATAATACCTTTAGCCCTCGACTCCATGCACCATCTGGCTGCATGCTTTGAACCTTTCCAATCCTTAGCTACAGTTGCACCTCTCCATTCCCCCCCTACCTAGCTACAACCTTGGAACCTCTTCCTCCATATCATTCACATCTCCATTTCCATCTTTGAACCGTATTTTGGCTATACCTTGGCTAACTTCCACTGTCGTTTTTACATTAAACACAGATGTGTTATCATTATGATACCCTCTTACTTGAAACAAAAAAAGGACACTAAAAAATATCCGCTTCAATGTTAGGTGTAGAACTTACGTTTAATCCAGTTTTGGATGTTTTATTATTTAAAAAAAAAAAGAATGATAGTGAGCTTAAATGGACCACGATATAAGTTTTCCTAGATTGGTCTTGAGATGGAACAGTATTGTTTTGCCTCTCTGTTAATACATATTGAGACTTTTTCTTTCCAACGCAGGTTTTAGAAACATTCCTTCATTTAAGAATTAGTCAGATAGATATCCAGTCGCTTAAACAGCATAATGAGAAGAAATCTGCAGTGGAACTGAAGATTGAGAAAAACAAGAATCGAATGGAGAAGAAGTTGAAAGGAAAGATTTCAAAGAAAGAGAAAAAGGTGCGTTCAATTCAGTTTTTTTTTCCAACGATGTGTTCGTTGGAGTACCTTTAAGAGGAAAAAATCACTTCACTTTGAGTTTTAATTTATTTGTATTTGTTCAGATGTATACCACAGGAGATGTCCAAAGTTGTAAAAGTATCAGCGACACGTGTGCCTACAGCCCGTGTGCCCCTTCTTTTAAACCCTTTAACTCCCATGAGTGATCGAGACAAAATTTCTCCTTAAAATCGATACAATATCATGCAGACAAGTAACGCGAATAAAGAAAATATGAATCCTCACACACCGCTGGTAGCCATGTCAAGCTGACCGCCGCAACCTGACCTTTATTGCAAATTCAAAGCTAATACAAGTAGCTTACACTAACACCGGAAATAACGAAAAATGTTCCAGGCTAGTACATTATACTGGTATTGTATAAACACTTAAAATCTTTCGGTGAGTGGGCGGGAAAGTCGAAAATGGCGTACGCAACAAAACAACTGCTCGCCCCATAGGTCACATGACCTATACCCAGGCCCCAGCGGCGTGTGAAAAAAACATTTTTCACTTGTTTCGTTCCACTCGGCCAGTGAAAAATTACTCTTAGGGTACTCCTATATTCCTGCAGTTGATCCAAGAACAAATTCTCCAAACTAACTTTATATGAATTGTAAGGCAGAGAGTAAGGAGAGCTACTAATGAAATCTTGGGGGTGAGAAGGTTATCTGAAATGACTCAGTGGGAAATGAATGCAATTTTTTAGATAAGGAAAAAAAAAGGGGGGCTTTTCATGACATCCTCTTCGCATCCAGTATCTCGCACGCAATTTTCCCTTTCGTAAACGGCCGTTGCCATTTAAAACGGTCGTTGCCATTTTGAAACGGTCGTTGCCATTTGTCGAAACAGTAGTTGCCATTTTGTAATGAATGACAACGACTGTTATCGGAAATGGCAACGACCGTTTCAAAATGGCAACGACCGTTTCAAATGGCAACGGCCGTTTACGAAAGGGAAAATTGCATCTCGCGCATGCGTCAGGATTATACTCCTGTGCATGAACACTGTAGTGATCCTGGTTTTAGTTTCATTAGAGTATGGCACATTGGCCGTTTGATAATTAAACAAGTTGCACATTAAAAAAAGAGAATACTTATTGTTGTGATATAACTTAATACGTCTACATCACGGTCTTTACGTGCAGCGAAAGAGAGAAATGAAAAAGTTAGAGAAAGAAATGCAAGAAACTGAAGCTGTTGAAAGTCAACAGAAACGAGCCAAGTTGGTAGGTGTGAAGTTTGCTTATCTTCCTAGAACTGTTTTTTCTAGCATCGTCGTGAATATATCACGAAGTTGGTTATCCACGTGAAGCATCGACGTTGTGTCGTTGTGAATTTCAAAAAGCGGAATTTTCAAGCATGAGCCCTTTGGTGCAGTTGTTGTAAAGTTCTATCTGGTGAAGCCATGAGATCGAAACTTTCCTGGTGACAACACACTCTAGTCTCATTAAATCTTAGCGTTTGAGTTTCTATCATTTTTGCCGCCATGGTCTCGTTATAATGATACTTGTAAGATTGTACTATTGGAAAATCCAGCCACTTCAGTTGTTTATAAAGATAAGCTTTCCATATTTGGTAACCCTTTTGATCCTTAACACCCTTCATTGTCCTGGTAATATGAGTTTGATCAAGATTATCAGATACCTCTTTTCTCCTTTAACAGCAAACAGAGATCCTGAAGTTCGTGTTTGTGACGTACTTCCGAGTATTAAAGACAGTTGGACACTCGCCACTCTTGTCCCCAGTACTCGAGGGACTCGCCAAGTTTGCACATCTCATCAATGTCGACTTTTTTAATGATCTTATGGGAGCTCTTCGTACACTTCTAGACAACAAGATACCTCATATTACTTGCCAGGGTAAACAAGCTGTTTGCGTAATCTTTCTTAGAGATTTTATGTCGCGATTTTGCGAGTCGATGTTATTCATACAAACGCTAAACCCCCCTTCCCCCCCCCCCAAAAAAAAAGTAGCTCAAATGATTGAGTTTGTTAGTTACAGTCTTCTCCATGGCCAAGAACTCTTACATATTTCTTGCTTATTCGTCTTTAAACATTCCTTTGAAGGCTATCGTTATCACTGGGAAAAGAACGAGAGTAGTTTGATATAAAAGCTTTAAACCACCTTTGCAACCACGTTAAAGGCAGATGGTTCTTTTAATTTGTACAATGCGTGCGGCTTCCTGCAGTGAAAACCAATAAATCCTTCCGAGCAGTTTGAACGAGTTTTTCTGGTTGCTCAGCTCAAACTTTCCCGAAAGTTTCCGAAAATACTACAAGGGAATTTGAAAAAGAAAATTGTAACTTGGTATGCCTTTTGAATCCTTGCGGAGTAAGGAAGTGATTGTAAACTGACATCTGAGAATCCAAGAATGTAAAAGAATTTCATGGGGTGTCTGCTTATTTAGCTTGCTAAGACTCGTCGGAAAAGGCATCGTTGGAATCGTGCAGATAATGTGCCAGCAGTTTTGCAGTTGTATTTGCGACAATAGCTTTCCTTTTTTTATTCTTCCGCTTCAGGAGCTTACCCTGAGGGAGACTCTCAACTGTGTACTCACAGCATTTAAAATTCTATCAGGCCAAGGCAAGTAGAAGGCTTTTATTTTTGCCTTTTGTTTTGTTTTGTTTTGTGTTTTTTGTTTACTTAGTGGCTTTCGTTAGAAACAATTTGAAGTTATTTCTGTAAATGTTTTGACACTACTTTTTTGGTCCTTCTTCACTTCATTTTCAAAATACAGGGGAAGCTCTGAACATCGATCCTCGAGAATTCTACAGAATGTTGTACTTGTCGCTGCTGCAAGTTCATGCAGTTAAGAGCTGAGAGAATTGAGTTACTTCAGCTAAGTTCCCATTTTGCTCGACTAGTATACACAAAGGAGCATTGTCAAGTGGGTTAAACTATGCTCTGTTGGTACACACAGAGGGGCTCCGGTCCTACAGTGTGCTCTGACCCGGGAGCACATCCCTTCGTATGTCTCGGCCTTCATAAAGAACAAGCTTAGTCCATGGTAGAGCATTGGAGACTTCCTGGTATAAAAAGTTGTCATGCGTCTTTGGTAAATATGAGGGTTTAGTTTCAGAATAGTAGTTTCTGAGTGAACACGTGCGAGTAATGAGTGGCCTTTAGACGTCGGTGGCAAAAACTCGAATTTGACTACAGGTAACAATATACTCATTTACTACAACTGGAGCGTCTTGACGAGAGCTTTAACTGAATAAGCATAAAAATTTCAAATAAGAGAGCTAATTAGACCATTTTACCTGAAATCCTAGAGGACTTTAGCCTTCGACGAGGCCTAGTGCATAAGATTATTCTATTCTTGAAGGAATTTACTCTAGTCAGAATTTGCTTAGTAATTCATATTTCTTCCACTTGAACCCGTAGAGGTTATGTATCCTGGCAAAATCTAACAAAATAATTTTGTGACCTTATTTAATTGTGACTTTATTTAATTCGCATATATATTTATACCCTGCTGGTTATAATAATAGTCAGGGAATTAAGTATTTTGTTACTTAACCCAAATTTGGCCTGTTGCTTATCAGTGAAATGTCAACTGTGCGAAAAGGAAAGCAACTGAACTGTTGACGAAGAGGACAACTGGAACCACTGGAATGAAGAGAAGATTAGACAAAGATAAGAACTTTATATTATTATATATCTGTAGTAAAATGGTGACTGAACTTATTATTCAAGAAATTCACTCTTGATTCTACCAGAAAGATCAGATCTGTAAATTACCTGCGTTGGCTTCTAAAAAAAATAACACAGTAAGTAGATAGGGCGGACGAAAAAGTGCAGTGAGGTACTTATTGTTTTGCATAACAACAAGTATTTGAAGCGATTCTGAAAGACACAAATTCACTGTAATATAAAAACGATACTACTTTCAAAGAAAAAAAACCCGTACATGGCATTTTTTTTCTTTGAGCTTGTGGAACAGATTTCTCGGGCTAAATTTGGTTCGTTAAACCAAAAACAACGACGAATTTGCGACTTAAAAATTTCGCCAATTTACTCAGTTTAGATTTTCAGAAATGCAAAGCACCCAGTACCTCAAGTCACCATAGGTTATTACGTTGCTATAGTTACAACCTATTATGGTCGCAAAGAATGAGTCTAAGGTGGAACTGCAAGTCAATTAAGAATATAGGACACTGTTTCCGAAGTAAATTGTCAGTTTCTTTGAGAAAGGAGCATCGATTGGTTATAAACTGAACACTAGAATTAAAAGAAAATCAGCGCAATTTTTCCATAGAATTTTCAAAGGCGTTAATGAAAACATTTTTTATCAAAAAAAGGGAAATGATTAGCCCCTTACGACTGATTATTGCATCAATTTTCATAACGTGCAGTTGACAGTAGCACCTTAGTTACATAGATCTCTTTCTGGCCATAAAGTTATAAATGACATCCGACAAGAGAACTCAATGGCATTTTTCATTCTGTTTCCATTTGGCTCATTATGTTTGGAAGATATAAACATACTTTAGATGAGGCGCAGCCTGAAAATTACGCACAAAGAATCTTGCGTTGAGGGAACACTCGCCGAAGTGACAAAAGAACTGAATCCTGACGATGCGTTTTATCTAGGAGACTTGCAGGATTATCCCGTTGATTCTGCAACGCTGTATCAGTCACAAAGTAAAGGTGAGTATAGTTAAGGACTGACTGACTGAAAAATTGTGATGTCAGCAAGCGTATCGCTGTCCACTATTCAGTTGCAAATCACAGTATTTACTGGGACTCGACTCAATCTTTGACCTACATCGCTGATAGTTTTCAACGACCGCTTGAGAAAACTGGTTGCTGACATACAATAGATTCATCTCAACAGATGTATAACTACTAGCACCCGACAAACAACCTAGCTTGACATCGACGTAATCGACTGCTTACGAAAGCTTGCTTTCAACATATAACAGACTGATTTCAAAAGATGTCAACAACTACTGGCACTCTACAAACACCTTAGCTTGACATTTCCTTGAACAACTGCTTCAGAAAGCTTGTGACTATCATAGAACAGACTCGTTTCAACTGATTTTAGTAACTACTGCCACTTTACAAACAAGCCAGCCAGACATTGATGTAATGAACTGCTTAAGAAAGCTTGTTTTCGACGCAGAACAGACTGATTTTAACAAGTGTCAACAACTGCGGACACATCAAACGCCGCGATGTTCAAAGCTGACTTAACATGAACTCGCTCCGATTTTCAAACGTGAATCACTAATAATAAACATGTTCATTGCCAATGTTCTCTTGTCGGTTTAGCTTATTATGAAGCACAGTGTTTGGTTCGGAAGAAATTACAGTGCTATGATTAAATCGCAGAACTACAGCCGCTTAATATTTTATTTGATATTATCAAAAGTCAATTAATCAATAGTCTGGACCAAAGAATTATGCGAGAGAAACTTGTCTTAAAATTGAACGATTTGAAGGGCAGAGAATATTTTCCCTTAATTCCCTGACTATATACAAATTGAGAGATCATTTTAATTTGTAATTTTCATCTTACTAAGTTCACGACTATTTAGAACGTAAGCAAACAAAAGCACATGCAAATGACGATCTTAAAAGAAAACGAGGGAAAAGTATTTTGCTGGGACTATGTGGTCACCTTTGTTTAGTAAAATGTCTTTCTGAATTTCATTTTTCAAACTTCCGTTTCTTAAAAGGAAGTAATCTTGGACCTTTTTCGACCACACACTGTGTTTTATCTTAATCTGTAATTAACTTAGTGTAGAAAAATACTATTTTCCGCCGGCTTTTCTTGTAACACAGGACATAACAGACGCACATGTTTGTTTTTTCAAAAAGGAAAAGAAATTGATTCAATAGCTTTAGAGCAAATTCTCACTCGAATTTTGTCTCTAAAAATTTTAAATCGAGCCCATCAACTGAATTGTTATTGTCTGTCCAAGAAAAACATCTCACTTTTAGCTCGTGCCTTTGATTAAACGTCAATAAAACAGAATAAAAGGATCAATTTAATTACAAACTTACAATCAAAGCAACTTCTTCTCGAAAAACTTCTAAGGAGACATGGAGCCATGCAATTGAATTGTTGTTTTCCCGTAAAAAAACTGCACGGCTTGCTCTTGTATTCAACCCTACTCGGACAGAACATAATAAAAAAGTCAATTAATTTACGAAGTGGTAGAAAACGTAGTAAAAACTTGTTTCAAAACCTTATAGCAGATATCGAGTCAAGCAAATAGTTTTGTTTTACTGTGAAAACAACATTAAAGCTTGCTCTCACGTTCAAAAAAAGACATATTTAGAACAATTTTGAACTAAAGGCAGTTAACAATGTTCAGGGTAATTTGACGAAAACAAGCTTATTTCATCAGAAGTTCTACGCGTATTTAGGTTTCATTGTCCTGTGTTACAAACGAAGGGAAAGCAGAAAACCGTTATTTTTCTGTCAGAAGCAACATGAAAAGTTCTAAGCTCAGATTAAAAAAATAAAATGCGAGAATGTACAGAAAGCGTATTTTTCACCGGAAAAGCTTTCTCTTTTCATGTTGCTTCTTTGCATTTCTGTTTCAAACATCATCTCGTGCAAGAAATTGAACACTTGATAAACTCGTTTGAATTTTTGACAAGGTAATTTGGCCAACGTAGCTAGTTAAAAATTGGAAATTGAGAATTCAACTTAAAAATTTCATGTAGTAGATCTTAGAGAGGAAAATTGGCATCTCTGATCTCAATTTTTATTGCACGAGGTAATGTTGTATATTTTTTGGCGGGAAACTTGCAGACGAAATCACTTTAATTTTTTTGCGAAAAAAGTTGCCAGGGGAAACTCTGTGCAAACTGGTCCAAATTTTCCCGCCAAAAGTCTTAGTATATATACGAAAAGTTTTTCCTGACAATTTTTCAATTATTTAATCGAAGAGAATTTAAATCAAATAAAGTTTTTTGTTGAACATGTATTGTTTGTAATGATTTATTGAGAGAAGACAATAAAAGATGAGACAAAACTGATCACTTACTTTATTGACGAATAGTAGATAATAAATACGACAAGAAAACCAGGGAAAAATATCAAGTTTATTAGCTATGTTGGAAAAAATGACTAGGAAAAAAAAAAATTCCGGCGCATGCGTATTTTTGAGCACCGTATTTTTCTAATTGTCTTGGCGGGAAAATTCACCACATTCGTACAGACGTTTCTTACAGAATAAAAAAAAAAAATGGCGCATGCGTATTAAAAAGCGCCGGTATTTTTCTAAGTTTTTTGGCGGGAAAATTTATAATTTTTAAACAGCCCATAGTTAGGTGTGTTTCTCAAAATTCAAGAAAATTGTGATTTATCGTTTGCTTACATCTGACTTAAAGTCCTCGAGTGTCGCTTTAGCTCGTCGGATCTTCAGAAAAAACTTCTTACATCTGTGTTGTATCTCTAAATAGATCCTCAACAGTCTTTCTTGTTTGATTCTTGTTTGAAGCATCAGGGATATTCGCCGCTCACTCTGAAAGTAAATAAAAGATAAACGAGATGTTGACAAATGCACTTGGTTTTGTACACTTGGCTCGCACGAAAACAAAAATCCCCATTAAAAGTATATAAATCAGTGAAGTTAAGTGCTGATAAACTATACAAACGAACGTGAAAGTTGCCTGGATTTACGGATAAATTCAATACGATCGTCCACGAAGATTCTAATAAGCTCGAAAAAATTGTAGTTGTTGCTGGAATTAATTTACGTTCGTACCGTTAGGGGTCTTCGTCCTCAGGGATTAAGCTAAATTATCTTTCAGCACTCGTACCCCAAAAAGCGATTATTCTCGGTGTCTGTCAGTAATTCGTGTGAGATCATGACGAGTTCAAACTAAACAATTTCAATCATTCCTCGCGTCTTCATTATACTTTAAAAACGCAAACTACTGTGTTTCTGTTTGTAGTTTCGACAAAAAAAAAGCCAAAACGTAAAATAATCCATTTCTTTTCCGCAACCTTTGATAGGGTCAAGATTAAACTAGGAATTCTGGTGCGTGAAAATGTGTAAAAATGATAAATATTTAAATAACAGTAAAAATTAGAATCCCCAGGTGACATTTTTAAAGAAACAAAATGCAAACTATCGGGTATGCGACAACAAGTATTTTTAAAAGAATTCTTCGGTAAATATCTTTATAGAATGTTTTATCTTTAATCTTTAAATTGAGAAATTATGGCCGGCTGGAAAACTTAAACAGTCCTCGTTATGAAATCAAATGGTTCTACTTTTATATTCGACACGAGTGCTAGTTTTAAGCTATATGTTC